CGAGAACGTCCCGCACTTCCTGCCCGCCGATAAGTTTAATTGGATTTGCACGGCTGGTGCGAGGCGCGCTGTGACCACTCGGCCCACGCCAATTAACGGATTAACGTATTTATGCATGTGGGCTGGAGAGGAGATGCCTTGCTTTTTAAGGTAACTACGAAACCAAAAAAGTGATAGTAGTAGTCGTCAGGATAAGATAAGATAAGCAACCTTACCCCATTCCCTTACCCTTTTGACTCAAAAGGCTACATTTTAATGCCTATCATGCTAATTCCAATGGGCAATATTGCAGGTGCTACTTGAAATTATATTGTTATTATTATAAGAGTAATTGTTGCTGTCGTTGCTGTTATTGGAAATGATGGTGGCGGTAGTGGTCATGGTGTTGGTGACGATGATGGCTTTATCGAGGTTATTATCCTGGGTGATGTTTTAATGGAACGATCGAAAGTGTCAGCACGATTTGAAAGGCTAATCAACTGTCTGTTACTAATAATATTGACTGTTACTAATTATAAAACGAGAGCCATTGCTTAAATGCGAATAAAATAAGCAAATTTAATGATTATACGTTTAGTAAATATAACAAAGGCATTGATTATCGTTAAATTTTACCTGGCCAAAATATTAGGGGCAGCAAGGGTGGCTAAAAATTTTTATTTTGCACTAATTTTCCTTGATTAATTAGCGAGTTTAGAACTGAGTGGTTAGAGTGAGACATCAGCAAACCAATGATATTACTTTTATGCTATTTTAGGATATTAATGTATCTGAGCTCGTTTCTCCTTTGCTACTTAATCATTTTACCAACTAACTCATTCTCTGTCGCGCGCGTATTTCATTTTCTAACTCTTCCATTGGCTCTATTGTCGGGCAGCGTACAACTAAAGGCTGCGCCTCATGCGTACAACAAAAGTAAATAAAAAGTGACAATGTATGTGTATTATAGGAAAATCCATATAGCTGACGGCTATTTTTATCTTATATTTTTATCTAAATATTATACAAGATTTATCTCGGATTCCCATATGAGCAGAATTCCGTGGCAATATTTTACAAATTATAAATCATTACGGCCTACGAGTGGAGTGACTTATTTCTTTTTGGATGGAAAACATTTTTAATCGAGCCTTTACTAAAAATAGCACGACGACACCGTAATTACGACGTTCATTGGATAAGTGATCCAAAGGTAAAAGTGGCCGAATGGCTTGGAAGCTCGCATAGACAATTGGCCCACGCGTTAAGCCGACAGAGCCAAACTAACGAGAGAGACAGACAGAGAGAGATAAGACAAGACAACGTCGTCTTTATCACGAGTCAAACGCCTACCGACAGGGCCGATCGGATGGAACACCACGACGTTTCGCATGTGCACGGATGCACCCGTCCGGAACCACGATTCCACGTTGTACACCCGTGAGAAACATCCGGTGGGTCACCCTCCCCCAAAACCCCAAACCCTTATACACTGGCAATTCTCGTCACCCCATCCATCGAGGAACGTGCAATGTTGTTCACTTGTTGAGTTATACGATATTTGCTATTGCTTATTTCATTAATGTCCGACGAAAATTTCTTTTCTTTACGTTGTTGTTTCGTTGTTTGTTATCACTTTTGATTTTTAAAAGAAGTAGAAGAATGTAAGAAAGATGGAAATCGTTGAAAAGAAAAATAATGAATACATATTTTCTTTATATAATAGAAGAATTTGGTTGAGTGTAGATAAGCCTTTCTTCGTTTAATATTCATTATTCATGAAAATTGTCCAATACATTTCTTCGGACACAATGTGTCCATACAATTTTTCAAACTTGTTTTCTACGTCATAATTAAATTACTGAATAAAAACAAACAAACAAGTTCCAATAATCAATTAGAATTTTAAATTTAATATATATATATATATATATATACGTGTGATGATTTATATTTTCGGAAGCATTAGTTTCTTCATTATAGGAATAAATTTTCTTTTGCGCATAATTTCAGTTTTCCAATATAAGCAATAATCAATTTTATTTAACGTATTTTCATAAATTTAACAAATTACTGCGAATACGTTTTAAAATAAATAATAAATCTTTTCGACTCGGTTCATTGATTATAGTTTAATTACAAAAGACGAATAATGCGAATAAAGTCGACATTTACTGGAATTGACATGGTGCATATGCAGTCTGATATAAATAAGAAATACATTTCAGATTCGCATACATTCACTAAGCTAAAACTAAATGCATTACAAATTTTCAATTTTAAATCCTTAAACAATGCTACAAATCCATATAATTAGAGCATTATTATTGAAGAAATATTTATTATCAATCGAATCAAGCATAAATTGTAATTTGTTATCTATCATTTATTATCGTTAGTTGTACAAATACATCGTTACTTTTTTTTTTTGTTTTTATCACTTTACTAAATAGACTATTTGATATTTTATTCGTATTTTATTAATATATTACAGAGTTTACATAAATGAGAAGGTATATGAGTGAAAATGGCGATAAAAAAAAACATTGTGTAACAAAACTATAATATTGTTTATGAGGATACATTCTCTTGAAATATTTAACTAATAACTACAATAAAATAAATATAATTATAAATAATGAATAAGTATGTTTGGTTTTTTCGAAATGAATAATCAATTACGACGAATAGATATAATGGGCTTGCGTATTGTCTTTTCTACGGTCTTTTTTTCTCTCTCTAGCATTATTATTGGGAAAAATTTGTGCACTTAAAATATATTTTAGTTAATAATGTCATGGATACATATTAACGAAATAGAGTCAATATCATTAATAAACAAAATTTTATAACAATTATATTTATTAGAAAAGTGTTATTTGTTTATATCCTACCGGTAATTAACATTTAAAGAAATGTCGAAAATATAAACACTCAACATACGCACGCGCACGCACACACACGCACACCCATGCATGCACGCAGAGTTTCAAAATCTCTCTTTCTTTTATAATTTCTAAATTTCTTTCACAATTTTTATTTTCGTTACTATTACGTGTAATACAAAATTTATTGATAAATTCGAATATCTTTTTTTTTTTTTATAAAAGTTATGAACAAATTAACGACATGAATAATTAAATACAAATCATTTTATATTTAATGTATAATGTGCTTCGTGTCATTATTGTTGCCAATTCTTATAGGATGAATATATTCACATTCTTAGAACAGTTTATCGATAAATTTATAATTCAACGACCTTACAACATATAATCGTTAAATATGAACTGAATATAAGGTGATAAAGTGTTAAGGTCTTGTGTCTCATCATAAGATATTTATTTATTTTATCATTAAATTGATCATTATGTATTGACCATTAAATATATGAAACAATAACTAAAGTCGTTTATATTCAAAGTAATAAACGGTTCTAATAATAAGATATCGTTCCTATTCCTATGGATATTAATTTTCGGCCCCTAACCTTACAGAATGTATTGGATGCGAAAAAGTGGGGGCTCGGTGAAAATAAAAATTGTTGATCGTGCTAAAATTTATGGTAAAATAATTCACTCGGAAAAGTAATTTTCAAACGCGGCATTAACTGCAAACACATGATGTTAGAAAGGCATTTATTCCAGTTCAATTATATTTCTCTTAACTCGAATATTTTTGGTGAAAAAAAAACAATAATAACACGACACGTTCGAATTTTTTACCATTCACACGAGCAATAAAGATTTCGCTTTTCAATTCAAACTTGAATATTTAAAGAAAGAATTATCGTCTTTGTTAAAGGATAGATATAGCACTCGTTTAAAACTTTTACTGTCTATTCAAAACAATTCTCTTCTTTTTTTTTTTTTCTTTTTTTTTTTATTATACCGTATGCTCGACTTTTTCGTGAAATAATTTTGTTTGTTTTTTTTGCTTTTTATTCTTTTTTTTTTGCCCCCCCCCCCACCGCTCGCCCACGCCCCACATAGTATAAAACCGAATATAAAAATGTCCGTATCACACGAAATTGCCTTATAGTGTAATGACAACAACACGATTGTTAAATCGCTAAAATAAGTTAATAATTATTTGAAAAAAAAGAGAAAAAAAAGAAAAAAAAAGAAAGAAAAATTCAAAGCAATTGCGCAATATTTTCACTGGAACATTTTCTTAAATTCTTTTCAAGCATGCATTTTTAAACTGGAAACAGTAAAGTTTTAATTGGTAGGCTTGATTATTTTGACGTTTACGTACGAAATGATAAGAATAGTTTTATGATCAAAACTTCTTGCAATTCGACGTGCGTTTGAAGTTTTTATCTTCAAGAACCAACGACAAAGAATATCACAGAATATTATTATAATGCTAGCAGGCTCTTTTAAAATATTCCAATCAAACCAATGCTTATGCATAATATGGCGATTCGTAATAAATAATCAACAAGAGGAGAAATGAGCGAGTACTTTGCGCTCAGAAGGGTGACGTACGTGAGTGTCGGAGGAGCGAGTGCATTAAACGAAATTTTTGCTTCATTCGCGAGAAGTAGGAAAACGATGTCAGAAATTAAAGTAGCAGTTGGATTTGTGAAATTTGGCATCGTTGATACGCCACACGAATCGTTAATGACTCTTATTGGTGGTGGTGGTTGTGGTTGTGGTAGTGGTAGTGGTAGTGGTGGTGGTGGTGGTGGTGGTGGTGGTGGTGGTGGTGATCGTGGAGAACAATTAATTGTCACTGGATGATTAATTTGAAAAGCTCACGAGACAGTTAGCGAGCCCAAATAATTGTTAATTGAACGGAATAAGACGTCGTACGAAGTAAAGGTGCTTCTTCTTTCTGCCGACACGACACGCTGGCACACGTACGATTAATAATTAGGAATGTAACCGTCCCGGGAAGATTGGCCGGCTACGAGAAAGTCGTCATCCGCGAATAAGGATGGTGCGTCGCCGAGGGTGTGGGTGTGGGTATCGGCGATGGGACGGGTTGGGGGACGGAGGATGAGCGGTTGGACGTACCTTTGGCTCGTCGGGCAAAGTGCGATATGTTCTGGCGCAGGATCTTCAGCCACATTATAGTGCCGAGGCCCGTGCGCTTCCCCTTGACGGCCAGGATTCCCCACTCTCTCGACACTCACGCCACGACACAAGTTTCTATTGCAAACTTCGCGGTAAACGTTCGCGCGGCCAAGTTTGCCAGGATTCCCAGCGTCGCGTCAGGTTGGCGCGTGCTCGGGTCGCTGCGAACGGCGCTAGCTCACTGAGCCGGGGGGCCGAGCAACGTCGTCGACGTCGTCGTCATCGTAGTCGTCGTCACCGTCGCCTTCGCCATCGCCGTTGCCGCTCGCGCCGGTGGTGGGGCCGAGCGCCTGCACGCATCCATTTACCGGCAGTGGGAGGGGGCAGACCGGGGCAGTACGGGCCAGGCATCACGTAGGCAGCCGCGTCTGCCCCTTCTCGCGTCGATCCTCTCCCCCTTCCTCGTCCCAATCGCCAACCACCAACCTTCCTTCTGCCCCCGACAGCGCGTCTCTCGGGGGCCTTGGCGTCGCGGGAAGTCTCGACATTGTCGCGCGGCAATGGAAGGGGGATGGGATGGGGGGACGACCCGGACGCGCTCGATTGACCCCGAACGAGGTCTCGGACGTCGTTGAGGAACTCGGTGTTCCCGTCTATTTTCGGACGGGCGACCCTTATTCATCCCCCGATGTCAAGCTCGAGAGGACCTCCCGCGACCGGTTGCGTGTCTGTCGGTGCGCTGGGAGCACGTGTCGACGGATCCGTGGACTCATCGCCGAGGTGCGCGTCCCTCTTGTTGTTTGCCTTTGCCGACTCGACTACATCGCCCCCTTCCCTCCTCCCGCCGCAACGCTAATTTTATTTCAAACATTTGATAATACCCGCAAACATATAATGATGATGATGATGATGATGATGATGATGATGATGATGATGATGATGATGATGATGATGATGATGATGATGATGATGATGATGATGATGATGATGATGATGATGATGATGATGATGATGATGATGATGATGATGATGATGATGATGATGATGATGATGATGATGATGATGATGATGATGATGATGATGATGATGATGATGATGATGATGATGATGATGATGATGATGATGATGATGATGATGATGATGATGATGATGATGATGATGATGATGATGATGATGATGATGATGATGATGATGATGATGATGATGATGATGATGATGATGATGATGATGATGATGATGATGATGATGATGATGATGATGATGATGATGATGATGATGATGATGATGATGATGATGATGATGATGATGATGATGATGATGATGATGATGATGATGATGATGATGATGATGATGATGATGATGATGATGATGATGATGATGATGATGATGATGATGATGATGATGATGATGATGATGATGATGATGATGATGATGATGATGATGATGATGATGATGATGATGATGATGATGATGATGATGATGATGATGATGATGATGATGATGATGATGATGATGATGATGATGATGATGATGATGATGATGATGATGATGATGATGATGATGATGATGATGATGATGATGATGATGATGATGATGATGATGATGATGATGATGATGATGATGATGATGATGATGATGATGATGATGATGATGATGATGATGATGATGATGATGATGATGATGATGATGATGATGATAATGACGACGATAATTACAATTACGATATATCAATACAAAGAAAGAATATATATATATATATATATATATATATATATATATATATATATATATATAAAGGAAATTTAGCGAAACGTTGATTCTGCTGAAGATTAAGTCTCTAGGGGGCAGCCACTCGACTTCACGTCTTTTCGACTGTTTTTCTTCTTCATTTTTTATTCCTTGCCACCTTCTCTTCACTTTGGCCTGAATATTAGCCACGCTATTGTGCTTCACCCATCTTCTTCCAATATAAAATATTTCACCAATATAATATAAAAGATGTTGTTTTATCGAGAAAATGCCAAATGTCCAATGTAATGACAATAAGTTAATTAGCATAATATGCTTTGTTTGTTTACAGGAACAAGGCAACGAGCATTTCCGGAAAATTTGTTTGCTGGCTTTATCGCATAGATGATTGCAATTTTGAAAACAACCTTCTAAGTAATAGGCTACGATTGTTTTATATAAATGTTATGAAAATCGCTGACATAACAATGCTTTATATTTCTAAAATATTTTTCAAATTCCGACTCGCTGCTGCTGGCCTGTAAAATTGTCGTGCCTACTCACTACTCGACATTAATACTTATCGCTTCGCTTCAACAGCCCCGTACCCCCGTAATAATTTATTACATCGTAACAAATTATACAATTGGCTGCGATAATATAAGCTTAATGGCCAATTTATTGTATTTTCATGTATTATTATATACCAATAAAATTCGTAAACATAAAGTTTTTGCTTAAAAATAACAAGATGTACTTGTTGTGGAGGTGCACGTTTCTCCTAGACGTAAAATTATTTGCGTATAATTTTAATTCATTGGTATCGACATTTAAGCCAGATACCCTTTTAATGTAAATGCTTTCGGCAATTGATTGAAGTATTGACAACGAAGGAACATTAACCGACATATATTAAAGCTTCTCTCGCCTATTAAGTCAGATACCACGTATACATATATATATATTTTTTTTTTATTTTGCTACTCGATGCTACTACGTCGCTGTCTTACAAAATTAAAAGTTTTAAATTTCAAAATTTATTTTAACAATTCTTGCTCGACGTACGCTATTTCAAAATTACGCCACTTAATACTTTTCGATATTTTCACGAATGAATTTTATAAATAGCTACTACAATACAATTATTAAGTATTAATTACATTGAATTTCAAACCTTTTCGAGCACGACGATCAAAATAAACACTGACGGTTTAAAGCGTCATGTAACCTTTTTATAATATCATATTTATTTTTATAACTACAATTATCTGTAATCGCTAGTGTATATTTAAGTGTTACAGCTAACACGTTTTTCTAACATTTAAATGTTGTTTAAATGTTGAAGCATCTGTGGTTGGGCTAATTTCAGTAATTTAATCTTTTGCCTTATACTTGACAACATCTAGTCACACATGCATACAGCTGCGCATGTGTATATGTATGCTCTTCGATCGACGTTTTTACTAAGTAGGTAAGTATTATGCTCATAAAAGAATGATGAGCTGAGCGATGATAATACTCGCAAATACAATAAGGATTTTCTTTAAATTTTAAGTTTCGTTGATATACGCATGTCTTATTTATAAAAATTTACGAAAGATTATTCTAATCTACCAATAAGAACAAATAGCTTTATTTTATTAATTACGAATCAGTAGACGTATAAAAATAGTTTGAATCATATAAAATTGTACATATACGCATATCAAGTTTATAATAATCTTTTATAGAGAGTAAATTGGCTGGATTGGGCCGACTTTATTATAATAATGAAATTACAAATTTCTTATTATGTAAATAATTTTATGTATTTTAATAGATACATGGATTTTCGTAAATTTTTGCGTGTATCGTAGAATATCGTTGATTGAATCATTTAATCACGATATTGTCAACAATTAATAACGTATAATCTCCACGAAATATGCATATTCCGAACAAGATTAACACTAGTATTTTTTAAGATACTTTTTGTATGCAAACGCACGCGCGCGTATATGAATCTCAGATTAACCGAAGATCTAAAATTTTAAGATCCAAAATTATTCGTAAAAAAATCCGTACTATTCAATAGAGACGGAGAACAATATTGTCGAATAATTATCTTAGAGATGCTTTCGATCAATATATATGCTTGCAATAAAGTAAGACACGTAATACGTGAAGTTTTTTGCGTGTGATCCACTTCTTGTAATTTGGCATTGAGTCGAGAACGCGATCGACTGTCACGGAGCCGCTGCAAGGAAAAAAAAAAAAAAAAGAAAATGAAGAAAAAAAAAAGAGTCAAAATCTGCCCCAGTTTCACGGATCTGCGGCGCACTTGAGGGCCGCTCAGCTCGGCGAAGCCTTTTCACAACGAAGGAGCGCACTTCGCTGAGTCTTCGTGATCGTGCGGCAAAGGGGCGAGGGGAGAACGAGGAGAGCAGTGAGGGAGGGAGAAAAAATAGCGACCCAGAAACGTCGATCGGGCGCGTACGTTGACTACCTTTGCGGAGTAAACAAACGGCCGAGAGGCGGCGATAAACGTTTTGAAAATGATGTATAGGAGGCAGGCGCCGCGGCGCCAGGCAACGAATTAACTAATCAATTTGCCAATTACAGGCCGATCCTTTTGAGCGCACAGTTGTCGCCGCAGCCCTCACCCCCCTCCAGATCACCGGTCCCAGACGCGTCGTATGCTAAACTACTTGCGACGATCGTATTGGCGGCTTTGAATTTCCCGCGCAATTCCCATATCCCCGGCGAGTGCCGCCGGCACTATTTCTTGATTCTGCCTGGCTAACGAAGCGGCGCCTGCTTGTTATTTATTTATAAAATGCTGTCGCTAAAGATGAACCTCGTTTTGGCTCTAAGTCAAACATTATTCTTCTAATTACAACGACTATGAGTATCTTTTTCCTTCGGGCATTGCTGGTAATTATCGGCTACAACTGCTCATGTATCGCATCTCTGTGAAATTATTAATATTCGCGATTGTTTATTAAAACTTGCACGATCGTACGTCGCATCACATCGTAGGAGAATAGAAATAATGGGAGGGAGTGACGATATAAAGTACCCCTTTACTACTCTGCTTGAGATAATTGAAAATATTTACATAAGAATGACTGAATCCGGCTACTTTATTCAATTTCAATATATTATTGGCATGTTTTTACTTAAAACTGTATTATTGAAAAACTCGATTTTATTAAATAACGCACTTGTGCGCTGAAAGATGTATTTAACATCGTTTAATGTGAACGAGTGAACTATGTTTCGGTATAAATATCTTTTGCTCGCTAGTTGACCTAATTTTTACGTACGAAAATAAATTTGAATTAAATGTAAAGTTTTTGCAGATTATTGCCTACTTCTTTTATTTTACAAACTTGAATTTGTTAGGCGAAGAATTTTAAAATAAATAATGGCAATAGTGACACATTTAAATTAAAAAATCTTCTTTCACACATAACGTAATTATTGTAGTCGTTCAATTATTG